GGTTGGTTCTGAGGCTCCGGATCAAACTATGTCCGGTTTGTTCTGAGGGTCCGGATCAGACTATGTGCACAGCCATGCTGGTTTGTCTCTGATATCAACAGGGGAGGCCCTAGAGTCCAGTAGGATGGCAGGTAGGTAATGATGGCACCAGGATGGATAGGGTCAAGTCTAGGTCTGGATGAAGGACTCGCTGCGAAGACTCAAGCTCGTCGTGAAAGGGGTCTGTAGGGAGTCGGTAATGATGTTCCCGCCAAAAGGGCAGGGAACAGGGAACAGGGAACAGGGAACAGGTAGGTCCCAAGTGCACCAGTAGAGGCTGAGAGTATCCGGGCTAGAGGCACTGGAGGGCGAGAGGCAAGAGTAGTCATTTGATGCAACAAGTAGTCATCCTGCTGCTTAGCCAACAGGAAAGAAGTGGCAGAGATCTGGGTAGAAGGAGTTGCGGGTGGTGAAGAAGGCCTTCATGGCTGTAGAGTAGGTGGAGAAGAGGGAGGGAGTCTGGCTATGAAGCGGCGAGTAGTAGGTGCCCAGATGTGGCTATGAGAGTTGGGAGGAGGGCAGTGCGAAGAGGACGAGGGACGGAACCGCCAAGAAGACTTATCTTTGGCAATGGTGGACCTTCATCTTCACTTACCTTGTTGGCACTGCATCAAGAAGGCCCATCGTGGGGTACCAGCTGGATTTGGGACTTCATTCATGAGTCAGGTTTGACTGTAGGAAATGGGAGTGGCATAGTAGTAGTGCGTTGTCGTCTGAACATCCATGCATGGCAGGCATGATCCGCCATAGCCACTAGCGCATCTAGGTGGACAGAAGCGAGGGAGGAGAGCCAAAGGAGAGATCTTTCTACACTGGCAGTAAGGAGATCTTTCAGACATTGGATCTTGTTCATACATTCATTCACTGCAGCTATGATATTTAACCGTCAAGAGGAGCTTTGTGAGGGATGATGACGGAGATGGAGAGGAGGGACAGAGGAGCAATTGTTCTCATCTTGTCTTCTTCTTCTTCTTCTTCTTCTTCTTCTTCTTCTTCTTCTTCTTCTTCTTCTTCATTGGCATCGCCGTCTTCTTTTTGGTTCTCTTCGTTGTCTTCGTCATTCTCTTCGCTTCTTTGAGTTGCGACAAATGGCGTTTTCACTTGAAAAAAAAGAAGCAGACAACCCACATGAACATTCACTCATCCTAACCCTGTTCTCTTACCCTAATGTCCCCATTCAACGCGCTGCGCTCATGCCTCCGATGCCATCCCACAGAAACACCATTATCTGATCCCAAAGTGTATGCCATCTGTTACAGCATGTTAGACAATTTGTCAATTTCCAAACAAGGTCAGGAGTTGTATTCCACAAAAAAAAAAAGCATGCACACCTCTTCTTTCTTTCACCCCAGGGAAATCTGTGTCTCGACACCGTTTTTTACTACAAGGAAAAAACGATCCGTGGATTGAATGCAAAGAATACAAAACTGCGGGCAACAGAAAAGGCAGCAAAAGGCGTATATACCCTGCTGCCAGCCCAATGGTATACAGTCACACCTGTTGATTGATAACTGGTTAAGTTCAAACAACCCTTCCCC